TAATTTGAAATAAATAACTATTTCAATAATTTATAAATGAAATTCATACTAATATCCCTTTCCCAGTAAATGATAGTGTGTGTGTGAGCCCTAAAATATAAAATAGTATAATCATGTGAGAATATTGAAATATTATTTATAATTTTTAAAAAATAATCATACATTATATTATTGATTAGCCTACTAAAACGTTATATTAAACAATTGTATCGATTATTTACGGCGATGTAATGATCATGAGATAATATTAGTATTACAGTAATTAATATCAGAGTTTATTTATAATTGATTAATAACATTTTTTATTTTAAAAGGTGACAGGCTAAAATGAAGAATTTATTTAAATAGCACAGAACAATTGGTCTAATAGATTATAAGCATTACCAGAATACAAAATAATTAATTATATACTAATATTATAAAGTCTGTCCCATCGTATTAGCACTAATTTTAATTATAATTAAAAATATTTACAATAATAATATCTTAACAAAATCTACACTAAAATTTTAATAAATTTCCAACATTTTGGTGAAGTTTTTGTTAAGCTATCATTATTGTAAATATTTTTAATTTTAATTAAAAGTAGTGCTAATACGATGGGACACCCTTTACTTTAATAAACAAAATTTCAAAATAAATTATAGTATTACACTTTGTTTTTGTTACTGTTATGCATTTAGTGTTAGAAAAATTATTTAATTTTCAAGTATCAAGCAGAATTGCATTCAAAAAATATCTATGATATAGACGACTATCAAACGAAATCATACATTTCACGAAATAATAAAACTTACAAATTCCTTATGCATTACTTATTTGTACTCAACACATTTCATTGCAAACAAATGTGTCCATATTTATTTATACCTACTAATTACCTATTATATAAGCAAAGCAAATATTTTAAATACTATGAGTAATAATTAGTACACACCGCCAAGCTTTAAATAAATGTTGTAATTTTATTTACACGTAATGTGAAAGATGTTTATTAGACTGATTGCTAAAAACAATTGAAATTTTTATAACTTAAATTCTCGTTATTAATTAATAAATTAATTTGTACTATGTTTATTATTTTATTTGGCAAATACCGGTATATATCTTTATAACAAATATTCTTACGTTGGATATTGTGTAGCATTACAATATTGTTATAATGTAATCAAAAGTGCATGAATTTAATAAAAAAGATAAGATATGTTGCCTAGTACAATTACAATAAATATTTTCAACTTGATTGCCGTCAAATAATGAAATATATTATTCACGCCAGTTATTATCTCTACCTATAAATATACGGCTCAATAAGAAAAATTATTTCATTCAAACATATTTTACCACGATCACTTACAAACAGTAATAACTGATAATAATAACTTGTATTATTAAGTAATATACTTAACCAGCAATCATGTCGCTCAATATTGTACTAGTTGCCCTTGTATACCTTTGTGTTTTATTCACCATAAGCAATTCTGTATTTATATCTCTGGTGGGCGAACGTAAGATACTTTACCAGGCTGACCCTGAAACCCCTTACTATGAAATTGTTTTGGCCTGCGCTTACGACTACGACTGGGACGAGAGTATCCAAAAGGTTTACTTCTCTCATAATGACCGAGTATTTTACACGAGAGGACAGTCTGACGACTGGGGTCAGTAGCTATTCTAACAATTATATTTTATGTTAGGTTGTACATTAAATACACGCCAAGGACTTTAAGTCGATTGAGTTTCAATCCGTGTATTTAATGTACAATTAATATTCACGTAATTAATTTAAAACTCATACTTGCCTTATGAAACAGACTTTAAAGTCTGTTTTAATATTAATGTAATACTCTATAATTGTAATATTTAAAGAGATTTAAGAATTTTCATATTTTTTAAAACAATGTTTTCTATTAATTTTTAATATACAATAATTTAATACAAGTTACGCATATCTTATGTAAAACAGTAAGCAAGTATGATGATTCTACGATCAGTGGGAGAGACACTACGAGTATGACGCTTGCTCAAACAAAAGGAATTGGCATCACCCTGACCAATGTGACCAAAAATTTTTTCGGGGACTACCGGTGCAAAGTGGACTACTACTCGGAACTGGACGGGAAGTCATACCCTAAGGACTCCTACCATAAGGTGTCATTCGGTCGCTCAGATAACGGCACCTTTTGGCTCGACAACTATAACAGTGCCTATACCTATAGCTCATCCCTATTTGTGATGTTCACATCCCTTGCGGCGTACTCTGTGTTTGGAAACAATTTATAAACAAAATTTCATTTATTAATTATTTTTATATTATTGTATCTGCTTAATTTATTTATTGTCATTTTTTACATAATTATATATACGCAGAAAATTAAATAAAATTTATTTAGTAAATAGATATCATTCACATATTTTAAAAATTATATTCTATTCAGTGAATAAACATTTTTGAAATAAAAATTGCATTTAAAAGTAGTTTTTATATTGTCAGGCCAGTAGTTTTTATAGGTAATTAAGATTTAATAATTTATAACGGTGAAATATATTATCGTATTTACAGGAAGTTTCTAATTCCTTATATCGGATTAGATGTCAAGTTTTAAAAAGAGTGAGACATTAATCCCATCTTTGAAATATATTTAAATGTTTTGACAAGGTCTTTTCATTGTAGAAGTTATCTACATTATTATAAAATCATAATCATGTTATTTTTGTTTAGAGAAGTTTTACTAGTTTTAAGTTATAATATAAATTATTTGAATAATATCAAGTCACGGAATATTCTTGAATAGTATTATTAAAACAAATATTTTCCTAACTTTTTAAAGCTAAGTATTTTTAAATGATTAACGTTAACTATTTAAGTTATTTATCAAATATACATTACAACAAAAATATTCTGGTTTAATTAAAAGGTGATTGTATAATTGTGATAAAAATATTCTTTTTATTATAAGCGACTTTAAATAGTTAAGAATTTATTTGTGAATTAAATTACCTTATAATTTTATTTATAAATTATTTAATATAAAAATCTAATATCATTTACAATTCTTTAGATTTTCTATTCATTCTTGGTAATTAATCATTTAAAACATTTGCAATTAATATTTTTTATTATATTATATTTTATAACTATTACACATTAACAATAAATTTATGATACTAATAAATATATACGTATGTACGTCAATCTTACAAATATATCATTCAATAGATAAATTTATTTACTCAATCTATTATGAAATATTTTTATGTATATTATCTCTAAATCTTTCATTATAAGGATTTTGCATTTCAAACACTATGAAACAAAAGTTTATCTGTAAAAATAAATTTATATATAAATCTCCAACACACACACACACTAACCAATATTAACCAGAATATAGTTACAACACTAATAAGTTTTCTAAATTATTATTTGTGAGATATTCATTTAGATGAAAACTAACCAAAAATATTCTGTTTTCAACGGGAGTACATCAAAATCTCGAAAAACAATCTCGAAATTTTAAAAATCATATTAATAGCACTACACCGAAGTAAATAGCACATCCAGATATATCAGATGTAGCTAGCATCCGGGATAGTAAGCTTAGAGTGACCAGATCCAAAAACTTGAATACTTGAAAGTTAACTCAAAAATACTTGACATTAAATTTTATTTAAGTTTTAACGGTAAATATTTTCACATAGCGGTAAATTGACAAAATTTAGATAACTAAAAATTTAATTATGCTCTTATAACCAATATCTGAATTAATATAATTATAGTTATTTTTTATTTGAATCCATATTATGTTATTAATATATTATATAATTAGATCATTAGATCGAAAGAGTGCTTATTATATTACTTATAAATTATAATTTATAATTATGAGAAAAAATATCTCACTTATCTGTGTTATATCAAATACTTGACAATAATTCCCTGATTATTATATAAAATAAAATTAATATACACAAATACTGTATTAATAAAACTAAAATAAGCACAGTATATTTTGCTTAAAACAATTAAGTTATAATCATCCTTACTTATAATCATATTTATACTTTGTTAGTATATGAATATAATACATATTAAATTGCAGTTTTATATGGAAAATGATATAAATTGTTAGATATTTGTATTTTAAATGTTTTTAAAATTGTTTTAAATTTAATGTTTAATTAAGTCAAGTATTTATATTATATGAAATGATATAATATTTTATTTTTAACAATTTTATGAAAAATTAACTTTAATTATATCAGATTTCCAAATACTTGGCATTATAATGTCAAGTATTACCCCTTCCCTTGATACTTGACAGGACCCTCAAATACTTGAATGTCAAGGTGAAATACTTGACAATGGGCAGTCTAAGTAAGCTATATCTGCTATAGGCAAAGAGGTGAAACCGATAACAAAACTGTATCGGGCCGGACCAGTACTCCGCGCGTTACCTAACCCAACCTAATGGTTCAATAAGGTAATAATCATGATATTAATACTATGATGTAGTGTAGTGTTATTAATACGATTTTTTAAATTTCGAGATTATGTTCTTCGAGATTTTGTTTTTCGAGATTTTGGGTGTATACGGTTTTCAACACTATTATGCTTGTATATTCTTATAAACCTAAGTGACTCGGTTTATATAAGTCTTATCGGGCACGACCCGCAAACCAGACCAAGGCAATTTGAGTTAAGCTGTAATTATGATTACGACGGCGACGAAAGTATACAAAATGTATATTTCACATTTCAGGACAAGCAATTTTACTCGATAGGACAACCTAATAATTGGGGTATGTAATATAGGTTACTAAATCTATATATCAGTGTATGTTAAATTAGTCCTCGGTTTTAACATTTCATTAACCCATAATCCCCAAGCTAATTTACTACTCTCTCTCTCTCTCTCTCAATTTTTTATTATAATATTAATTGTAAATTTGTAATCAAACAGATACCAAGAAAATAAATGATGGCAAAGTTGTCGACCTAATTACCGACAAAAATTCTGCTAAGAAAACCGGAATATCTCTATACTTTCAAAATATGACCAAGAAAGATTTCGGTGATTACCGGTGCAAAGTGGACTACTGGTCGGAAATTGATGGAAAAACATTGCACCAGGATTCATACCGGAAAGTAACAGTGGGTCGCATAGAAAACAGCACATTTTACATTAATAATCACGATTTGTAAATTATTAATGTCACTTGATAAAATTTTTATTTTATTGTACAAAATATTAATGATTAAATAAAATTTTTCTATTAATTTAATTCTTATTGCCTTATTGTATAAAATTAAAATGAGAATATATAATGATATTTATTTGTAATTAAAATAGCAGAATTAATTAATTAAATATAAAAATATGCTTTTAATATAATTTTAAAATTTAATTTGCCATATACATTTGAGTGATACAATTAGTCAAAACAAAAATTTTTTGCTATTTGATTGCATAAAATTGGTGAAACATACAATTATTACAGTATTACACAGTACTACAGTATGTATGCCTTACAGACATAATCTTATCGTGAGTGCCAATAAATATGAATGCGTTATATTAGAGACAGTATTTAATGAGCACATTATAAATACCAATCTATTGATCCGACCGACAGGTAGGAGACATGGGGTGTAAACATAAAATAAATACAATAAAAATAACGTTGCTCATCTGTGCAATTAATTATTAAGTCTTTATCAATTACAAATAATGTAATTGTGATGTAATGTAATAAATAATGTTCATTGCTTTAAATGGGGCAATTTTAAAAATAATAAATATTACATTGAAATTGATAAATCATATATTTTGTTTAATTTGCTTATTATAATTATTTTACTTGAATATTACACAATATAATAATCTATTATCTATTACTTCTATGTAATACAAATGAATAACATTTGATTCAAATAAAACATTGAACATAATTTTTAAAAAAATTACTTCTGTCATCTGAAATTGATACAATAATTATAATAAATATTTACGAGTTTATTCATAAAATATCTTTGTATTAATTATAGAAAAATTGCTTATAAAGCTTAAATTGTATTATATACAATNTTGCTTATTATAATTATTTTACTTGAATATTACACAATATAATAATCTATTATCTATTACTTCTATGTAATACAAATGAATAACATTTGATTCAAATAAAACATTGAACATAATTTTTAAAAAAATTACTTCTGTCATCTGAAATTGATACAATAATTATAATAAATATTTACGAGTTTATTCATAAAATATCTTTGTATTAATTATAGAAAAATTGCTTATAAAGCTTAAATTGTATTATATACAATAGTAAATCCTGAAATTAAATATTAAATACAAAAATACATTATTACACAAAATGTAAGCTTTAATTTTACGTTAAAAATATTATTTCATTAAATAAAATATTTAAAAAATTATTTTGTCTATTAATATGAGATTAACCAAAAAATATGTTTAAATGATATGATGTTGTTTGCGATTAAAGACTGTGTAAATGAATAAATCATTTAGTAATTTAAACAATGTAATTATTCCTTAACTATTACAACAGAATAAATCACTGGTAAAAACAATTGTGCAAATAATGTATTTCACCATTACACAATAACATACTACAATACTAATTACCAGTAAATCCTGGTTAACTATTTGCTATATAATAGAATTTTAAAAATAAATTTATTTTTTTAATAAACATGATTCTCAAACTAACCCTATGTACAATAATCTACCTAATAATAGCATTTGACCATGGTCAATGTGTTAAAGTGTTGCTCACAGTCAAACAAACAGCACATAATCCCATCAGTTTTGACGTCGAGTGTGCCTATGATTACGACGCCGACGAAGTCATCCGTCAGATTAATGTCACACATAATCATAGAGTCCTCTACACTGTCGGTGAACACACGGCTTGGAGTGAGTAGTTGTTTAAGAAAATGATCCTCATCAAATTGAATAGTATAACATTTTAACCTGTAACTTAATTTATGCATCATTTAAATTAGCAAAATGCTCAGTGAATGCATAAATATAATATAACTAATTTAAATAGGTTTTACTATTTACTAGTACTGTATATAGATATTATAAATGAAATGAGATTTTATAATAAATGAAACAATATTGAAGCAAATTCTGTGATTTTTTACTCTCACTCAAACACACCAAAGGGGAATCAAAATCAAAACTAATGTTAAATGTGTTATACACACAGGAGCTGAATTTGGTTCAAACCTGGCCATCCAGACCAGATCATTCAACCACCCTGGCAACTTTACCGTATACAACGTGACCCGACACGCGTTCGGCGACTACCGGTGTCTCGTGCAGTATTGGTCCGACTATGAGAAGCAAGTGTTGGTCTCCTATACCAAGGGTTACGTATCTGTCGGCCGACGCTTTCACGACAGCTCTTTCTATATTGAATCGCATTATATGTATCAAAACGATCGCATTTAGTATACAAATATTAATATTAGCTATTTTTAACTACAATTATATTTACTAACTATACAAAAACTCTAAAATCTGAATGAAATATAACTTATTATTTTATTTTAATTATTAATTCAAATATTAAAGTTTCCTACTTTTGGAGCAATAATTATAATGAATTTAATTTTTAACGTAATGTTCAGCAAAACATTTATTCATAATAGAAATTAAAAACAACCATTTAATTTAGTAATGAAAATCATATTTATTGTAACACATTATTTATACTGGTATATGACCCTGTCCAAATGTGGATTAACCCATAGCATGACCGGCAGCCACTACCATATCTCCGGTATCTTTCATCTCCTGGACCATAACGGACAGACAGTCCTGTTGTTTGGCAGCCGGCTCTTTAATACAACCGGCGGCGATGCCATACCAGTGCTGGGCCTTGTCTTTGGCCATATGGCACAACATGTCGGCGCCTGTCTTACCAGTGGCCAAGACTTTGTAGAAAATATAAATTCGTTTATTAATCCCATATGTAATCAACTGAGAACATCATAATGAAGTAATGGGAACTACATATTATGTGACAAATAGCACCTACACTTGCAATATTCCTCATCGGCGTGGGCGTCATCGCATTTGGCAAACTTGAGTACCTGTCCCGTGACTTTGGACTTACCGTCGCACAAGCTGTGCAACCCTTTCTCAATGACCTGAGCGCCCAGACCTTCGCCCAGTTTGACCCCTTGTTTGTAGGCATCCATAGCCCCTTTGCTGAAGTGA